ATGGATGGTTATCTGGCACCTTCTAGATGTGCTGAAAACACTGGGAATCGGAATCCACTATTTGAAGGACGCCAGGCTGGGGAAGACTTCTGGTTCCTGAATGGAGAGACTTCAACCTACAGGCCAGAAGTAACCTGTGCTGCCTTTAATCCAGTTCCCTACATCCCTCTTCTTCCGATTCTCTCCCCACCCATGAAGCAATTAGGCCTGAAAAGTAACCCTTCTATTGGTACTAACGGCAGCCTTTTTTCAAATGTAAATTGCAGCATGAGAAAAAGGGTTGGGGGATGGGATGTGGCAGCTGAGCTGCCCAAGGAATGTTTAATCTTCCTCTTCCCAAATGCTTCCTCTGACTAGCTGCAATTAGGCTCAGGAAGACGGAAGCACATGGTGGGAATGTGTGAGTGCCTGAACCTGTGTTCCATATGAGGATAGAAGCCTACGATCTCTGTGCGGTTAAAAGTTAGTAGGTTCAGTATTGTGTGTGCATAATTTGCTATGTGAGAAAACTGGTTTTTGTGTTGCGTGGATGTGCATGAATAGTGTGTGTGTGTGAAAGACTGTGCGTGAGTTTGGATGAGGGAGAGACAGAGTGTGAGATGGCGCAGTCACTTCGGCTTTACCACAATCACTTTCTCTAAGGTGGGGTGCTTGACATACAAGCCTCAGGAAATCCCTGAAAAGAAACCCAAAGAGAACAGAAGCTCACACCTTTGTTGTAAATGGAGCTATCGTGCACTTTCTTTGCAACAACAGAATGTTCCAGAATCCTTCCAGATGAACATTCCCACCATGGTTGAAACTGTACAATATTCCTGTTCAACATCCCACATGGGCACATCATGAATATAAGCATGTCTGTTTCTCTGGGTACACAGGGCAGGAAGACTTACACTTTGAGTGAAATGTGCCTACACTAATCTTACCATTCTTTTTGTTTTGTAGACAATCCCACCTTTTTGGCAAGGTTATATCATATTTTTCTGCGGCTAATCTGTGCCCCTTCACTCAACTATTTAAAAGCAAGATATGAGTACCTAATGGAGGAATGGAAGAATACAACTGGCAGCTGATTAAAGCTGAATGGATAATTTATTCCTATTATTCAGTGGCAGCTGTCACTAACCCCTGCAAAGGTTGAATGGGCTTTACCAACTTGATAGTCCAAATATACTTGGAGAGCACTGGCTTGAGGAAGGATATTTTAAAATGCCTACACACTTCAAGGTATTGCAGCCTTTACCTAGCAAATCTTCATCGCTTTTCATTCTGTTCCCTCAAATGCTCCAAACAGTGGCCTCTACGCCAGCATCTTACTCCATCTAAACACATCTGTTTCCATAAAATAAGAGTACCAAATAATAAACATAGTTCAGAAGCACAATTTATCAATGAGGACTTGTAGTATAGCATAACAATACGAGGTTGTCCACGCAAGTGCTACAAAGATGCTGTGAAGGAAACCCTACGCCACTGTGACATCCAGCCAAGGGAACTAAGAAGCTGCAGCTGCTGACAGAATCTACTGGCAAGCCCTGTGCTATGAAGCCTCTACCAGCTTTGAAGACAGGCGCCACCAATAACTGATAGAAAATTATGAGCAGCACTGTAGAATAATACCCATAGTTACTACAACAATGGACTTCCAGTGGCCCCTTTGTGCTAGACTCTGTGCTTCCAGACTGGGACTGCAGAGCCACCTCTGTGGTCACAGATGAACTGCACAACAGCATGTCTTCTTCGAACCCAAAGGACTACCTATATACACATCTACCAAATGCTGCAAAGAAAACAACATTGCATGCACTGCATTACATCTCTACAGCATACAATTGCTCACTCACCATAGATACAGTAATCAGTAAAAGTACCCTTCAAATCAAGCTCCTAATGATTTTGCAGAAATATCCGTGTAGTTTTCTTGACCAATGGGTTGGCCATTGCTTCTGCCAGGATGTTTTTTCCCCCTCAATGCTTACTGCCATTGAATTTCCTAATAGGTTCCCAATCAAACAGTAACCAACTCTCATTCTGCTTAGGATTTTCGAGATCAGCTAAGATTTTGACTAGTTGCTGCCACCAAAGATGGGCCCAGATACTGCAGAATTAGAATAGATTCCTTTGTATTAACACAACTTAAAGGTGAAACCCCCCAAAGAAAAAGTCCCTTGGGTGGCAGGACTGAGTCCAAGCAACTCTCCCTGATCAAAGGTCAAAGTTTAATAAGGATGGACTTTCCATCCAACTCTTGCTTGTAAGTGTAGCAGTAGTACAAGGGTATAGTGGGTAGGTTATAATGGTTTTATTGTCCACTTTCATCCCAAGATGATCTTGAATCATTCAACTCATTGGGTACTATGGATCAGTCACATATTCTCAGCCTATCCTGCCTTATGTTCAGTTACAGTGGCAATGAGTGCACCTTTGGGAGACTGGAAAGAACAGGTTAGGGATAGATCATCATGGAGAAGAGTAAATAAATCAATCAATCCTGCGTTATGAGCTAGTGGCAAGGGGAAAAAAATAAGATGGTAGTAGAGAAGGATTACCTCTTCCATCCTGAGCTCTTTGGAGGACAGGTGGAATGTGATTGAATTAACAAATAATTAAAAAAGGCAATGTCTATGTAAAAAATCTGTTAAGTAGTCTTCACTTTAAACAAAAGTTTTAAGCCTCCATGCAGAAACATGTGATGCTGTAAAAGGGCTACCTGATTACTATGAATAGGCCATTTTGGTGTCACCTAAAGTGGCTCATGGGAGTCCTGAGTTTGACAAAAGAATCTTAATGTTTCATAATGGCTGTGGAGGTTGCTGTGAATAAGCAGTTAACCCAAGAGGGAGAGGGCATAATCTGTTTGGTAGATTATGTGTGAAGCTTTTGGAAGAGAAGAAAAGGGAGAGAGAGGGGGCAGAGTCCTCAGCCTGTTGAATATGAAACATTTTGAGATATTACAGGGCCTCCCTGAGGAATCAATGTAGGGCAAAGCAGGGATGGACATGATCTATTTTCTGTTTTGTGAATCACTGGATCCAGGTGCAAAAGACATACCTTTACATTTAAAGAATTTGTTGCCTCTCGGTATGAGCTGAATGTAGGAATTTCTTCTGAGTACTGGAAGTGACCTGGGCTTACTTTTTTAAATACAAAAATCCAATATTTAGAATGAAATATGGGACTCATTTATACAAAATACAGTAGGTTAAAAAATGATAGTCATATAAATGTATTAGAAATAATATTTAGAATGAAATATGGGACTCATTTATACAAAATACAGTAGGTTAAAAAATGATAGTCATATAAATGTATTAGAAATAAATACGTACTTAAATGTTTGCATTAGATAAATATATATAGAATTGTATTTGGTTACTGTTATAATGACATACTGTTTGTTGTATTTCCTTCACTTTTTTATTAAAGCAGTTTCTATGTGTTTTTTCTTCTTCTCAATAATAAAAAATAAAGATATAAAAAATACAAAAATCCACTTAGGAATTCTTAATACTACAACTATTCCACCACTTCTGTACTACTTTTTGTCCACCCTTGGGGTAGAGAATCTTGTTTTACAAGAGTATCTTTTTTCCATTATGTTTTACAAACATGACTCTAAATTAAGCAAATACTATCAACATGCTATACATCTCCTGTGTTTTTCCATCAAAAGCAAATGAAACTTGGCAGGGCTGTTCCAGAAACCACAGATATTTGGGGGGGGGGGGGACAAAACACTTGTGTGCCATCTTTCTCATTTAACAGGTTTGGGACATGGACGTATATACAGAATTAAACTACACAAAACACTATGCACAAAGTAATCTTGCTTAACACACTCCTGTTTATTTTGAAGGTACTTAGCAGCTGTTACTGCTGAGGAGAAGCAATCAAGTAGTAAACATTAGCTGCAGTCTCTCCCTCCTTTTCTTGCTTTACTGCAGAGGCTAGAAAAATGTGAGGGGTGCCCCAACCAGGAATTTGTCATTTCTGGCAGCTTGCTCTGCCTTTTTGGGGCAGGCAGAGAGGACAGGAAGCAACACAGTGATGGACAGATCAGGTTCATGGTACGCTTAGAACTGCTTCCACATTCACCGTTTCTGAACAGTGCATCAAGAGCCGCTACAGATGCCACCACATTCTGAGCCCAGAATGATGGCAATGGGATCTAATGAGCAATAATATTCTTCCCAATATTTCACCCCATTTGGTGTGATCGCGGCACCTCCATTGGTTCCTTTTGTTCATTCTTTCAAACAGTCACTGGACTCATGGACCTCTTGCAAGGACCAGCCCTGGATGACATCAGACTGCAGGGTTGCGATTTGCTGGGTTGAATCCCTACTACTGGACCAAAACCTCACTGTGGTAATGTGTGAAGTCCACACTCAGGTGAGCCAAGGCCAAGAGGGAAGACGAAGCCTGTGCTGCTGTCTGTATGCCAGCCTTACTCAACCTGGTGCCCTCCAGATTTGAGAGACTACAACCCCCATTATTGGCCTGGCTGGCAGAAGTAACAGGAGTTATAGTCCAACACATCTGGACGGCATCAGCTTGGGTAAGCCATCCTTGATAGTACCTGAAAAGAACGAACGAGCGCCCACTTTTTCTCCATCATGGGTTCAGTCTTCTACACAGACGGTCGGGAAACAGGAAGGTAGTAGCAAGTTGCAACTCCCCTTCCAATCTACCAAGCTGTCGGAAGAGAGCGCAGCCGGAGCAAAAGACCGGCGAGTCTTTCTTTCGCCGTGCAACGCCGGGGAAAGGAGTGAACACGAGAGCACGTAGTTTGATCCGAGAACGCTGGAGGCTATCAGCCTCCATCTCTCGAGCGAGCCGCCGCTGCTCTTCCAATCCCACGGGCTGCTCTTCCCCACCCCCCTCCCCTCAGGTCTTTGGGGGAAAGTGAGCCAATCGCCCGGCTCGGCGGAGGTGAGAGGAAAATCAAAAACCTCTCCATTCCCAGCGAAGGGGAGAGCGCGCGACGGTTCTTAGGACGCATGCGCGCCTGGAGAGTGTTGGGTGCCTATAACAACAACAGAGAACGCGAGGGAGCGAAAGAGTCCGGGCGCACCACCAGTAGCTCCTGGCAGCGGCGTCTGCCGGCGTCGGGAACCTCAGCTAGGAGTTTTGCAAGCGCCGGTGGGCAGGATCGAGGGGCAAACTCGTCCTTTTGCAGAAAAGTACCGGCGAGATCTGCGTCTGGGGCTCCTGCTCGCCTCTGCAGACCAGACGAAACAGCGGTCAAGAGGAACCGTGTAGGGCACGGCAGGGAAGACAGAGCCGGGAGTGGGAGATTGCGCTCCATCGCGGGTCTTTCCGACCCCTCTCCGCTCTTCCAGCTAGAGAAGCTCCATGGGCGTAAAGGACTTCGGCCGGAATCCCGACTTTTGGATATGGCGACTTCCCTCTCCGGACTTGGAGAGGCAAGAACTGGGAAGATGAGAAGCTGCTGAAAGTGGTCCTGCAGCGGGTGCGAGCTGAAAGCCAAGCGCGCGGGAGAGGCGGGCGGGGGGTCTCTCGACCCCCCCGCGCGCGCCCCCAATCCCACCCC